ACGATTAAATGTAAATTGCAATTATAGTGTGAATCTATGACCAAATTGTATCTATCAGATTAAAAGAATGGAAGGTTAGGTTCAACAATGGCATGATTGTAATTAAATGGAAAAAAATTAATTATTTTCTATATTGAAACCATTAGAAGGGTAAACTTGACATTTTGGTGATAAAGAAATTATGAATGAAGAATTTTAAGGATATATGTTTGACTGTTTTTTGTTATCACATTTCAATCTATTTCGGTTTCAATTCTAATATTATTTTATTAAATTTCAATTGTACAAAGCATTCTTATAGAATGTAGTGTTTTTAAAGAATCTACAGCATTCAATTTTAATTTGAGTTTAATTGATGGGTTATTGACATAAAAGCACAATGATGTTTTCCGTTTGGTTTTAAAAGGTCCTTCAATTAATTTTCGTACTTCTTACCTCACTAAAGTGACAAATTACTTGTCGTTTATACCATTAAAGCCGGTTACCCGGTAATTAAATGTGACGTGACCTTTAGATTTTAGATTTCTTTAATTAAATGACATCTCATCAATGACATGTCAACGCCTTCGTATAACTATTCAAAAAATGGCTTTACTCCAGTCGGTTATCAAAATCGTGTTGAAGTGTTGAAGATTCTAGGGCTTTTCTCTCCTATTTCTGTAAGTTTTCTCTCGTCTAGGGTTCTTTTGTAGTTAAAGTTCATCTGGTTCTTTTCTAGTTAAAGTTCATGGCGAACCCAGACCCTATTTTCTTGAAAGTGCATTTACACTATAACGGTGTTTTTACAAGACACCCACATAGATATACTGGAGGTGAAACGTTTATGTTTACTGATCATGATTTCTCTTGAATGGATTTACATGGGTGTTGTGAATTTCTAGATAGATTTGTTGGAGAACCTTTTGAGAAACTTTATTACTTAGCACGTGATCTCACTATGGCAAATGGTCTTAGGGTAATAACTAACGAAATGGATTATCAAGTGTTTATTGATGTTGCTTATCAATCACCTGAAAGGCAAATAGACCTGTATTTAGATCATATTGGGGAAGCATTTGAGGATTGGTTCGATGAAGAAAGTGATGAAAGTGGTTCAGTGATCCAGGGGGATGACAAAGAAACTACACAATGAATCCCCGATCCTGAACCAGCCTATATGTTTGATGCTGGGTTGGATGATGAAATCAATGGGGAATATTTTACCCCACTAAACAAGACTAAGGACGATGAGTTTCTTAACAAGTTATGCCCGGAAGGTGGAGAAGAGAAAAAGATTGAAGAAATAGATAATAGTGAGGAATTGGACAACGATGTACTTGAGGAACATCCTATCTTTAATCCTCATGTACACTGGAAGAAGCAAGAACCAATTTTAGGCATGAGATTTGAGGATCCAAAACAACTAAAGAGCATGTTATGTAATTATGTTGTTAAAAATAGATATCAACTATGGTTCGAAAAGAATGACAGTAAGAGGCTTCTAGTATTGTGTTGTAAAGGTGCTTGTACTTTCAGGCTATGGGCAAGTTGGATGAGTACAGAACACAGTTTTCAAATCAAATCTTTAAAAAGTGAGCATCGATGTGCTAGGAACTACAAATTGGGTTCAATTGTCAATTACAGATCGATTGGTAACCACTACACCAAGGAGATTTTGAATAGACAGAAACTTACAATTAGGCAACTACGATTGGAGGTCATCAAGAAATTTGGTATTGAAGTCAGTATTAGCCAATGCAGAAGGGCCAAACAGTATGCTATGAATATTATTGAATGTGCCCTTATTGAGCATTATGCTAAGCTCTGGTCTTATGGAGAGGAAATTAGAAGATCCAACCCTGGTTCAATAGTCAGCATGGATGTTCTTACAATGCCAGATGGAACTAATCACTTTAGTAAGTTTTATGTTTGTTTTGAAGGTGTAAAGAAGGGGTGGTTAGAAGGGTGCAGGAAGGTGATTGGAATTGATGGTTGCTTCTTGAAAGGGTATGTTACTGGTGAGTTGCTTTGTGTTGTGGAGAGAGATGCTAGGGACCAAATATACCCAATTGCCTGGGCTGTGGTATGTGTTGAAAACAAGGAAAACTGGAAATGGTTTCTGTCATTGTTAAGTGATGATATCAATCTTGGTATGGGACAAGGTTTAACTCGTATGTCAAACCAACACAAAGTAAGCAAAACATTTTATTATTTCTCTTTCACAAAGTATATTACCCAATTTATTTCTAACTACTTGTATGTTGGTATAGGGTCTTATGGAAGCTCTCAAGGAATTGTTACCACAAGCTGAGCATAGGCAATGTGCAAGGCACATTGTGGCCAACTTCAGTAAAAATTTTCCAGGGGCACAGTTTGTTAACAAGTTTTGGTCTGCATGTAATGCAACAACAGAACAATCTTTCAAGGAAATAATGAAGGATATTCAGCTTATGAGTCCAGAGGCAAGTAACTACTTGATAAAGAAGGACCCTAGAACATGGTCAAGAGCTTACTATCAAGTTGGAAGATGTTGTTCTGGTGTGGATAATGGAGGATGTGAAAGTTTCAATGCAGTCATAGTTGAAGCCAGGAAGAAACCTATCATCACAATGCTTAAAGAATTGAGAATGTATATGATGAACAAGTTGTACCCTGTAAAAGTTAATGGATGGTCAAGTGATGTTTCACCTGAAATAAGGCTGAGGTTGAATGAGTTAAAGATTAATCAAAGGTTTTGGGAGGTATTGCCAAGTGGACTCAACCAGTTTGAGACTAGGTCGGGAAGTGAGGCGTATGATGTTGATTTAGACAAGAGGACATGTTCATGCAGGCTGCCATTAGCTACCTCAATAAAGATGTTGAGAAATATGTGGATCCTTACTTTTGTAGAGCAATGTATATGAAGACCTACCAGTACAAAATTTGTGCAAAGTGGAAGGACATAATAAGAAGACATGTCCAAATGTTGATAGGTCAAGACCAAACAAGTTACCGACTAGGGTTAACAGGACTAAGGCACCAAAGGTAAATACAATTTCTTATTTATTAATTTTTTATTTGTTATTAATTATGTTTCATTTAAAAGGGTGAAAATGTGAAGAAAATGACTGCAGAAGTGGCAAGTGGTAGTAGGACAGGAATGGATGGTGGGGATACACATGGTAGTAGGGTTAA